GTATTAATTGTCTTTATAATGAGAGAATGGTGTTTTATTTTCGTTGTTGTCCATAGTATAATATAAAGTGGTGTGTTTTTATGATGCCCCTTCTGGCCCTGCTTTCAGAGAAACTGGACCTGCATGGACTTCTAAGCTGATGAACACAATGGATTAATTAAAACCTTATCCGAGATGTGTGACAGATTTATTTTCTAGATTTCGGGATATTAATTTTTATTTCTACAACTGATTTCCCATATGACATATGAGTCATGAAAGGTGAAGGTCAGGGTGACCATTTTGTATCAACTTTATGCATTGTTGTTCATATGATTATATTTACATGTCTGTTGCCTTACTGATTTCCACAGTGTTGACCAGGATGGTATTTACACAAGTGTAGATATATTCCAGATCAACTGATAGTAATATATTACCATAGTATTTAGCTCCATCTTATGTTATATCAAGGCTTTGCATATTTCCACAGAAAACATGTTTAGTTTGATGAGAATCATCTAAATAATCCCGATGTTTTGGAAGCTGTTTCAGTATATTAATATACAAAGGAATATAAACTGTAGTAAGATGATTTTACAGAAACACAAATAATGTCAATGTCGGGTGGCCTGGTGGTAATGCACTCGCTTTTCTTCTGGACATCCAGGGTTTGATTCCTGGAAGTTATGTGAAAAGATATTGGGTCACCTGCCCAGCCACTGGGTTTTCCTGGGGTATTCTGTTTCTCTCCCGCAGTAAGGCCCCCTGTCTGCTTTGTAGTTATTCTGAAAGATTAAGTTATGAAGAAAAAAAATTGAACAATTTTTTTTTTCCTGGTGGAGTTCTTCATTGTTTGTTAAAGTACATACATTTATTCGGAAAATAACAGTTTCTAAAACAGTATGAAAAATGTCATTTAGAAAACAATTTATTTTATCACATCTTTCACATATTGGTCAACTTTATTGGGAAACTCATTCGGTTTTAAAAAACTCTTTCATTTTTCCAAGGCCATTTAGATGCACTGATATGATGAACGTCACTCATAAAAAATCTGGCTATTTATGGTAATTCTTCAGTCAAGTTATAATTTCTCATCAGATATGCTGCTGATTTGCTGGATAAGTCAATTAAAAGATTCAATCTCCATCGTAATATCTGGTATCAATAGTTATGACTTGACAGAATATTTATAAAGCAGTGGAAAAGATAGGTTGAAATGAAAACTATCAGGTTATATTAGCAAAAAATGAGAAAAATTATCTTTTCTCATGCAGAGCATTGGGAATGTAGCCTGAATATTTTGGTGCCTTTTAGAATTAATTTCTGTCGCCATCCCCACAGCTTGCAATATAAGTTAACTGTTTGCGATATATTTACATGTTGCATTTCTTTTGACCTTGTAGATTTCACCATCAATTGATAAGTAAGCTTTTAATTCTCTAGGTTCTGATAATACTTTGATTCCTACTGTGGTAGATGTTCAAAATATGTGAAAGTCGCCAAAGGGTTAGCTGCACTTTGTCATTGTGATGTAAGTTCAAAGCATTTCAGTGTCATACCATGCACCTCTTATCTTCACTTTAGTTATAGGCAAGCTAACTGCTAGAGCTATTGTGGGCCCTAAAAAACTTGTGGCTCTTGATGTTTGAAATGAAGTTTTGATGGAGTTATGAGGTAGCTTATATTGTTTAATATGGAACAAATTGCGTTCGCTCCTTAGAATACTTGCTGGTTAGAGGACTAACCATAAACCAAATTACAAATCTAAAATTGGAAAAAAAAAGTTTGATTTTGGTATTAAATTAAATGAAAAAAAATATTACATGCAAAAAATTAGACAAGAATGTTAAGTTTTTACTAAAGAGTATTTTTTGTATATCATAAGCATTTGTTTTTTAAAAAACCAAAACACAGCCTAACGGTTGGTCATTAAAATGTTTGGCATGTGTTGTAAATCAGAGTCATTATAATGTTTGGCAGGTTGTAGATCATGGTCATTATAATGTTTGACATGTTTGGCAAACTGCAACTATGCTGGTGAACTGACAACCTTAACATGCAGAGTGTGCCAATTTGAAAAGGTTTAACCTAACACATGTAATTTGTTGGCAAAGCTTACAATAACATGTGTGTAAGTGTAAAAGATGAAGGATTGAATGTACATGCTGCTGATGGTAACCAATTCTCCAAGCAAAAGCAAACTGTTAAGAGGAAGAAGACACTATATAAGATAAATTTATATTTCAAAAAATAAAACAATCCTGATACAGATTTATTTGTCTTTATTTGTTGATATTCTCTCAGTTAAGACAAATGGTCACTCTTGAATGATTTTTGAATGATGAGTACCTGCCCTTGATTATCTCTGATGAAAGATTTTTCCTCCACCGAAGAATAAATTATTGAATCTTTGTATAGTGATCATTATATATTGGCTGTTAGTCATTTATGATGGGTAGATTTAATAAAAGATGTTTGTCTCAATAAAGATACTATATCTTTTGCTGACGTGGGGTATTTTATAAAACCTTACATAAATGGATTGTTTTCCTGTATCAACAATTAAGAGTTCTATCACTTGATTTTCTAACAAAGGCACTTTTTCAATATCACCTATAAAATTTTTGACATTTCATAGTACGAAACTTCTCATCATAGGAAATATTTACAGAATTGAAAAAACGATACCATACACTTATGTAAATCACTGTTGTCGGTTCAGATGGAAGGGTAAAGGGGTATACAGGTGAAGTAGGAAACTGAAGTAGTGGAGAAAACCATGACTTAAATAAAATATTGTTGTCAGACCCTTGGTATTTTCACTGTTTTTATCGAATTGGCTGATTGGATTATATCACAGATAGCAGAGTGATGTAGTCAATCTGTGAAATAAAAAGTTAAGTAAAAACCAAAGGTATGTTTCATTGTGTTTTCCTGTTGTCAAGTATAGACAAAAATATGTTGATGTCAGTAAATTATTTTTGGATGGGACAGAGGGAATGATATCTGAGATGATGAAAATCCAAACTTATTTGAGACATGACCTCATGGATACAACATTTTATTAATGCTGTATATGATAGTGAATACAGTATCTATTCACTTTCTGTAACTGTTATGCAGTGCTTTGTGCCCTGGCAAGTTTCCAGCACTTTTCCCGTTGATGTAGATAGTGCAAGGCTTTGTAACCTAGCCATTCTCCGAGTAGATAAAATATATCTACATTTTCTATGTGATTGATAGAGTACAAACAATATCTATCTAACAGGATGACAGCAGAATAAATAAAAAATAGGATGGTCATAATCAATTAAGGCAGTATGCTACACATTACATCTGTGACTTTAATTGGAGAAGTCCTCCCTTGAAAATTTAAAGCAGACCAAATGAAATGAGAGGTTTTCCTTCTTTTGTCTACTAAAACATACAATATTTTTACCAGAGAATAAGTTGTATGGCGTCAGATGCAGTTGGTACACACTGTTGTATTTTTCTACCTTAAACTGGAAACTGAAGGGATTTATATATTGTATGATATTGGTTTAAAGTTATTAAGTGGATCTGATTAAGAATTTGTTGTTTCAGTAATGCTGTGATACAATGATTCTTGCATCATATTTTTATTCTTTTGGAATAATATTTTAATCAGTTCATTTGTATATATAACTAATTAATGAATGTAATATGTGTCTTAGTTTTTTGCATTTGTCAATATGTCACCTAACCATGTTGAAATTTCATATAAATCATCAATGAAGTAATTTATTTAACCACATTTTGATTAATTAATTTAAAGGTTGAAACATGGTCATTAAACCTGTTTTACTGTTTCAATTTTGTGTCTGGGCCTGTTTCTGCTTGCCTGGTTAACTTAATATTTTAGGAATGAATAAAAAATTATGCCGAGATTTTGAATATGAAATATTCATTTTGATTAATTTTAATAATAAATGTAACTTTACATAAACTAATGGTCAAATTGGACAGAAATCTTCAATTTGAACTATTACAGTGAGGACTTTTAAAGCTGAAAAATCTTTGTAACCAGAGTAATTTAGTTAGTGTAGAGATTTATACAGACCTAGACAATGGAGAAAGTGAAATGGCGAGTATTAGGGATGGAATGTCGTACAAAGGAAAGGATTTGTTAAAAATGTTTTCAAAACTGAATCTGATAATCTCTAAAGGGTGGAAATGAAGTCGTTTGTTTTTGTGGAGATTTTGTGGAGATTAGCAGCATTACGGAAGGAAATGTGTAACAAACAGTGACAGTTTTGTGTTAGTCAGACAGGGGGAAATCTATGGAAATCTACAAGTGCTAAACAGGGACTGATTGTTTGGAAAGATGAACATGATACAAACTAGGAGGATATGTCATGGAGAAATCAAAATGGTCTTTATTTTTGGAAAAGAAAAAAAAAATTAATCAGCTCCTTTAGTTGAGATGCTCCCAGATCATAAAATGAAGTGTTTATATGCTGTGAAAGGCCCTGTCTTATAATTCTAGCCTTTTCTTTAGTCATACAGTAAGACACAGATTTCCAAGCTTGCATGTTTTTTTATTTCTGGGTGAAGTATAATGTTTATATGTTCAGATGTTTCTGTAGAATTATTGTTGTCTTGTGAAGATGTGTTATTTAACCTATACTTGTGTATGATGAGTCCACAAGGCCTGTGGCAGTACACAAGTTCTGAACCACAGAGTGGGTATATCGAGGAAATGTCTATTTATCTTTTGCATAAGCTTAAGCCATTGACTTTTTATCATATATCAGTGTGGTAGCGGTCTCATGTGCAAATTTTTTTGTTGAAAATTTGGTAAAAATTGAAGTTAAACTTTTGTTATCAATTTGAGAATCTTAGATGTGCATGTGTAAGTATCACAATATATTTAATACTTGTCTTTCAGTTTCCCAACCTTAACCTTCCATTGGAGGACCAAAACTGGAGAAAAGTGAAATTGTGACAATGACATTGACCTTCAGGTTTTAAACTTGACCTTTTTGTTATTTCAGGGTCGACGTACACGTGACCCAGCCCGGAGAGCTACAGTGGTGACCTATAACCCTGGGAGTGTATCGGGTGAATATGAAGAATCTGACACCATGTCTAACATCGAGGGTCCTGTTAGTAACTTCTCCAGAGGAGGGTACATGCGGTCAAGTCTTCCCATCGTACGGTCACCCCCCAACACCTACGAACGACCCATGGGTAATTATTAAAATCATTTAAAACATTATTATAATATACCATTAAAATGTACTGTTTCCATTGGTCATGCTTAAGAAATGTAATTCGCATGTGGAAGAACACTATTTTTATGTGGCAATATATATATACATCAACCCATATTTATTTCCTGTTTAGTATAATTATTAATGAATGCTGTTTCACTGTCCTGTAATAAGCCCACCCCCGCCTATGAATAATAAGAAGTGATGTGTGTTGGCCTCTGGTCTTTGCAGGATAAACATGGTATTCTACAGTATATCTTGCATAGCATAATTACAACACTGCTTCCCCCAGATGTATTTAAATTCCCTTTTAACTTATGTTAGGTTTATATATGTGCTCAAAGCAAATCTTAGGTAGTTTGTGGTCCTAACCGTGATTTATTTATAAAGAGTATATTAAATTGTCAGCAGTTGATGTTGATGACACATGTAGAGCGTGAAGCACTTAACACAACAAAATCTACTTGACATTGAGTTAGTTTGATATGTTTATTTGTAATGTTTGGAAGTGATCTCTGGTCCCTTACACAGAAAACCCACTGAATGTCATAACATGTATCTGTATAAAAGGAGAACCACAATATCTGTTAGAGCCTTGACCCATATAACCTGAGGTGAAGATCTGAGATGTTTGGTTCCACAATCCTTACCTGTGGTGGTTTGTTCCATAATCCTTACCTGTGGTGATTTGTTTCTCAGGAAACTTGGTTCCACAATCCTAACCTGTGGTGGTTTGTTTGTCAGGAAACTTGGTTCCACAATCCTTACCTGAGGTGGTTTGTTTCTCAGGAAACTTGGTTCCACAATCGTTACCTGTGGTGGTTTGTTCCACAATCCTTACATGTTGTGGTTTGTTCCGCATTCCTTACCTGTGGTGTTTGGTTCCACAATCCTTACCTGTGGTGATTTATTTCTCAGGAAACTTGGTTCCACAATCCTTACCTGTGGTGTTTAGTTCCACAATCCTTACCTGTAGTGGTTTGTTCCACAATCCTTACATGTGGTGGTTTGTTCCACAATCCTTACATGTGGTGGTTTGTTCCACAATCCTTACATGTGGTGGTTTGTTCCACAATCCTTACCTGTGGTGTTTGGTTCCACAATCCTTACCTGTGGTGATTTATTTCTCAGGAAAGTTGGTTCCACAATCCTTACCTGTGGTGATTTGTTTCTCGGGAAACTTGGTTCCACAATCCTTACCGGTGGTGGTTTGTTTCTCAGGAAACTTGGTTCCACAATCCTTACCTGAGATGGTTTGTTTCTCAGGAAACTTGGTTCCACAATCCTTACCTGTGGTGGTTTGTTCCACAATCCTTTTGGTGGTTTGTTTTTCAGGAAACTTGGTTCCACAATCCTAACCTGTAGTGATTTGTTTCTCAGGAAACAAAAAAATAAAAAGGATTGGTCTGTGCTGATGTAATTGAATCTGCTGGCAAGAAACTTTATCTTAATTGCTCTGAATTGCATATGATGGGCCATCCATATGTTGTTCATTTAGGTAGTCATCAGCTTTTTCAAAGTGACCAAGTCTCAAAATGACACTTGTTGTTGACATGCACAGGAAGCAAACAAGCAAACAAACAAAACTTTAAAACTCCAGATCAGGGAAGCACCACCCTAATTACATGGTATCATTTTCTCTAATCAAAATGTCTTTATTACATGGAAAGAGTTGCTTATCAGCTGTGAGATTGATGTCATGGTGTCTTATTACATGGAAAGAGTTGCTTATCAGCTGTGAGATTGATGTCATGGTGTCTTATAATGTGGAAAGAGTTGCTTATCAGCTGTGAGATTGATGTCATGGTGTCTTATAATGTGGAAAGAGTTGCTTATCAGCTGTGAGGTTGATGCCATGGTGTCTTATTACATGGAAAGAGTTGCTTATCAGCTGTGAGATTGATGTCATGGTGCCTTATTACATGGAAAGAGTTGCTTATCAGCTGTGAGATTGATGTCATGGTGTCTTATTACATGGAAAGAGTTGCTTATCAGCTGTGAGATTGATGTCATGGTGCCTTATTACATGGAAAGAGTTGCTTATCAGCTGTGAGATTGATGTCATGGTGTCTTATAATGTGGAAAGAGTTGCTTATCAGCTGTGAGATTGATGTCATGGTGTCTTATAATGTGGAAAGAGTTGCTTATCAGCTGTGAGATTGATGTCATGGTGCCTTATTACATGGAAAGAGTTGCTTATCAGCTGTGAGATTGATGTCATGGTGTCTTATTACATGGAAAGAGTTGCTTATCAGCTGTGAGGTTGATGTCATGGTGCCTTATTACATGGAAAGAGTTGCTTATCAGCTGTGAGATTGATGTCATGGTGTCTTATAATGTGGAAAGAGTTGCTTATCAGCTGTGAGTTTGATGTCATGGTGTCTTATTACATGGAAAGAGTTGCTTATCAGCTGTGAGATTGATGTCATGGTGTCTTATAATGTGGAAAGAGTTGCTTATCAGCTGTGAGATTGATGTCATGGTGTCTTATTACATGGAAAGAGTTGCTTATCAGCTGTGAGATTGATGTCATGGTGTCTTATAATGTGGAAAGAGTTGCTTATCAGCTGTGAGATTGATGTCATGGTGTCTTATTACATGGAAAGAGTTGCTTATCAGCTGTGAGATTGATGTCATGGTGTCTTATTACATGGAAAGAGTTGCTTATCAGCTGTGAGGTTGATGCCATGGTGTCTTATTACATGGAAAGAGTTGCTTATCAGCTGTGAGATTGATGTCATGGTGTCTTATAATGTGGAAAGAGTTGCTTATCAGCTGTGAGATTGATGTCATGGTGTCTTATAATGTGGAAAGAGTTGCTTATCAGCTGTGAGCTTATCAGCTGTGCTTGATGTCATGGTGTCTACATGGAAAGAGTTGCTTATCAGCTGTGAGATTGATGTCATGGAAAGAGTTGCTTATCAGCTGTGAGATAATGTGGAAAGAGTTGCTTATCAGCTGTAAGATTGATGTCATGGTGTCTTATAATGTGGAAAGAGTTGCTTATCAGCTGTGAGATTGATGTCATGGTGTCTTATAATGTGGAAAGAGTTGCTTATCAGCTGTGAGATTGATGTCATGGTGTCTTATTACATGGAAAGAGTTGCTTATCAGCTGTGAGATTGATGTCATGGTGTCAATATGCAAAATATAATTTCAATTTATTTTTGATTTCTTAGAAGCTTTGAATATTGGTTAGATTTCTGTTGTGCTAAGCTCCATGCTTGGTCAAAGCTGGATTCAAGGCATATATGTTTCACAAGCATCGTTCGGAATCTTTAGGAGATTTAATTCAACTGCTTAATTATATCTTGACCATAATTCCATCATAATTTATTTCTGGTGATTTACATACTGTGGTTGTATAATTATAATATGCTGGTCAGTGTCATTACGTGTTCAGAACTTTCCCTTTGGTTGCTGGTGAAAACATCGGTGTCACCCCAACACATCTAGTATCTCAGTTATATTGTTCAGAAGCAACATTGGCATTATACATCAATCTTATACCTTAAAAGGGTTCATGTTGGAAAAAAGATTAAATTTCAGATGGTTATATTTATATTTAGTTTATATTGTTGTGTAAAAGTTTCAGGCCTGAAATGAAAAACAATTTTAACCTTTTTAAATGTATTTATTTTCAGGATTTGTGTTCCTTATTTATCGGGAAGAAACACGACGTGCTGTGTTACCAAATGAAATCACACACCTTGATACTGTGCGGGCCATGTTTGTACGCGCATTTCCACAGAAGTTAAATCTTGAAATTCTGGAGTCGCCACGTAGGAAAATATACATTTTAGAACCGAAGAGTTCCATTTACTATCAACTTGAAGATTTACGGTAATTATTTTCAATTTAAAAGGATATATTCCGTAAATTTACGTGAGAAGGATGACTTCAAATGGAGTTTGCTTATGACTGAAACAAAACACATTTGTTTTATGACATTTCTCTAAAATTGTAAAATAATAAATTTTTTTGTTCTTACTCCTTGCCTTTGCCCTTGTCCTTTACATAATTGATTTTATTTTTTTAGGGACATCCGAGACCGAGCAGTGTTAAAGATACATGAATGTGACAGTTTTGAACCCCAGAAGATCAAGGAACCAGCCCCAGAGACACGTGGCAAGCTTGTACAACCCCCAGCAGGACAGCGAGGCCAGGGATTCCCTGGGGAGTCCCCAGCTACGGCCATCACTGATCATGTAAATAGTTATCTTCTTTTCTGGGATTTCCTTTATTTGCTCTCTTGGTCTGGTGTGATGGCTTTCGTCTGTCCATCCATCTGACATTTACTTCCCCTCATTATTTGGACATAATAAACAAAAGGGTTAGAGTCATAATTTTTAGCTGGAATGTTCCTTGGATGAAGCTGATCATAGTTTGTAAAATGAAATGACCTTGACTCATATTCAAAGAGTCAAATTTGTTTAAAAAATGAAAATGACTTCTCATTAACCAAGAGTTTGAATGCCAACAATGCAAAATGTTAATGTATTTGTGACAAGCATTAAACAGATCACATTTCCAAGATTTCTTCACTAAGACTGATATTGATAATAATACATGTTGTGATATTCTTGTTTTCAAATTTGCAAATAGTTAAAGATAAGAAAATTAATGCATGCGCTACGAAATGAATATTGCTGGATGTTGTTGGCAAAGACAGTCTCCCATATAAACACCAACAGTTGTCAGCCCCTGGTGGTCATGACAAAATGTTAAAATGGTGAATTTTGAATAAAAAATTGATACTGTTTTAGTTCCTGCTCTACAACATGGATACCAGCTATTTTAGTGTTACCACCATATGATGAAATTTTCCTCTGGTGGAATAACCCTATTATGCAATAGTTGGAATGTATACATTTTCCATAATTATATTGATATTTCAGGTACGGAAGGCCCAGACAATGCCTGCAAGTATGACTCACTCCTATCCTTCTTATGTTGAAATGGAGTATGAAAGGCCAAGGTCACAGACACCTGATCCTGCTCGAATGTCCCGGAGTCAGGGGTCATCATCTGGGACGTATGGTCGTGTTATGTATCAATCTCCTGAACGCCAGCTCTCACTTGAACGTCCCAATCTAAGACCTATCCCAGAAAATCATCAGATGCAAAATGGCTACATTCCAAATAATAAGGTCTCTTATGATGACTCTGATGGACGAGGCCAGCCTATATATGGTCATCTCACAAGCAGTCGAAGTCAACCTCCGCCTGGAGACCCCCTGCGGAGAGCCCTGTCTCCTACCCCCTCTAGTGCAGTTTCGCAGGAATATGATCATTTTCGAGCACCAGGAGGGCCTGCGCCCGGAGCGCCTCCTCAGACTTATGTTGCCCATGGGACACGAGCAAGTGGTGTGTCCACTCCGCAGAGGGCAACTGGACCAGGGACAGACCAACGTATGTAACTAAAACACTCAAGGAACTACTGCTATAGAATATCTGTATGATAAGTGAGTGTTGGAATCAGCGAAAATTTGCTTTGTTATAATTGGATTTCGAGTCTTAGCTTTTGGATAAAATTGATGCAGGATTTTTGACAGAAAGAAACTTAGAGGCATCTTCTATGCTGATTTGATCAACTATGTATCATTACAGTATCTGTACAAAAGTGAATTGCTATCCCACTCTCTTTGGAGTTTGAAGACAACAAAAAGATATTTTTTACCATGTAAATTATACATGTAGAAATTTTAAACAGTTTGTTATGATAGAAAATATGCCCTAGCAATATCAATTATTAAAAGAGAAACATTCCACAAATAGGTTCAGAACACACTGGAAAGATATTTTAATTATCAAAGTTAAATAGCTTAACAAGTTTGTACCAGGGATCAATCACAATAATCAATGGGGCCTGCAGGTTCATAGATTAATTTCTGAGTCAAATTGTTTCGCCGTCCTATAGCGCTTACTCAGGAGATACATTTTATGATTTCTACCCACATGGTACATAAAATGTAAGTTAATTTTCCTGACTTCAGATACATAGGAAGGGTTCATGAACCAACTTTGGAAACCAGATGTCATGACTCTCTACCTCATTTCCTAATTATTATTTGGTGGTTTTTAGGTCATCTGAGACAAAGTCTTCCAATGTAAATAATTTATATTTTCAACAGCTTCTCAATAAATAAAAGGCCAAGGGTCACAGTATTGGGCCTGTGGAATGCTGGGATGAAGGGTTACCAAGTTTGTTCAAATGAACGACCTTTGCCAATTTTCAAAGTTACTGGGGTGAAATGTGTTAAAATCTTTAAACAACTTCTTCTCAATAGCCAAATGGCCCAGGGTCTTGCTTTTGGGCCATAAGCAGTCTAGGATGACGGGCTATCAAAAGTGTTCAATTAATTATCATGACCTACTTTAAAAATCACCAGGTTAAATGTGTTAAGACATTTTGATAACTTTTAATAACCAAATGACCCATGCTCATTATATTTGGCCAGTAGCATGCTGGGATGGAGGGATATCATGTTTGTCCAAATAAATGACCTTGAACTTCATTCAAGGTTACAGGAGTCAAATATTCAAAACTAAAACAACACAGACACTGTTATCACCAACAATTAAAAACATTTCAGTAAACATATATCATTTCTGTTCCCAACTCTAGGACTGATGGATAGGTTCTAAAAGATCTGAAGACCCCAGGTAACCGTTAAGGCCCATGGTCTTCTTGTTTTATTTTGTGAAAGTTACTGCTCATAACATCATTGTGATAAGATTTTCTGTTTATCTGTAAATTGTTTGTTGATTTTGTAGGACATGCCATGCATAACAACAGGCATTCTTTAGCATTCACTCCAATGGCAGATAAAACGGTATCGCCTACCAAACCTATGGTCACTAATGGAGTACCGAGATCTCAGAGTTACAGAGTGGCCCCGGATACTGAGAGATCTGTACCGTTACCACAGCGACCTCGGAGCGTGACTCCTCAACCTGTACCTCCAGATGTAGACTCAAAGTACGATGATTGGTAAAGGGCAAAATAATATATTCTCGATGTTGTACATAGATAGGTGACCCTGTCAACCCTGAGTTTCTTCTTTGATAAATTGTGTGTCCTATACCCGTCGCACTGTTTGAAGTGCTAGGTACAACTTGACACCTATGTAGAACATTACTGTAAATCAGTTACATTTTATTCAGAATTTATTTTTGTGTTGCAGGAAGAATCAATCGTGAATTCAAATCACGTGTGATTGTTTGGATATAATTAACTCTGATGACATTCATGTTGATTTAGTAACCCATATTGGGTTCTTGAAAAATCCATGTCTTTAATAGCTCATCATCCATGAATATAAGTAATTTTTAGATCAGCATTAGTGAAATCATGTATTGTTGAATATGTTTGTAAAGGTTAGTTCCCAAAATAAAGTATTGATGAAATCAAAGTGACTTACAGTGATATTGATTACTAACTCATTCAGGTTTTAGATTTTCTTCTTTTTTTATCAACAAGTAATTTACCATGATAAAATTTTAAATCTTCACAGTTAAGACATTTCTTTTCATTTTAAAATATTTATTTTCTAATTTGTTGTCAAATCATATCTCATTTAACTTGCACAGAGGAAAGATAAGATGGTCACATAAGCTGTATTTTGTATTTATCAGAAATATTTCAACACTTATTTTTTGTGTTGCATTTATTTTGTATAGATTTGAATATCGTAGTAATTTCTGAAATTTGCAGTGAAGATCATAACAGCTGTATTTTGGAATTAGTAAACAATTGTTATTCAAATTTAGTGCAGTGCAGGTGCATTGAAAAGAATGAAAGAATGGCCTCATTTAAAATGGAAGGGAGGCAACTCTGACATATATAATGTTGTAAAGAAATTTGAAGTATAATGTATATTTGATTGCTCATATATTTTATATGTTGATGAAATTAAGTGAAGTTTAAAAAAAAATTGCCTAAAAAAATAATTTTGTTTCCATGGTAACAGGTTTCGTATGGACAAGATGGAGGCCCAGATAGCAAACTTGGCAGCCTGGGTACAAACTGCTGTAGTGTCCACCAACTCAAGTCGTGCTAGCAGTGTAAGGAGTGGAGCCAGTACCACTCCCTCCGACATTGCTGGTTCACAGTTTGGGAGCACACCTGGAAGTAAGTTACAGAGGTCATACAGGGTCACAGGAGTCACTGTAGTTGTCAAGTAGAGATCACAGTTACAAAGAATGTCAAGAAGGCAGTGAAAAGCAATGTCAGTTTTATGAGAGGTCATTTGGGTCAGCGAGGGGTCATTGGGAATGATCTTAGAACCATAAGCTTGTACAGCATGGCTTTTTTAGTGTACAATGAATTAATGAATAAAAGTGACAGGATCATTTAAGTACAGAATATTTCAAGGTCACCAGAAATGTGGATTGTGGGTTTATGATATTAAAGGTTTTAAGTTTCATTGATATTAAGGTTTTGAAAGTTTTAAAATAATCATATTTCAAAATTAAAACATTTTTCTTTTTGTTTTTTCTTTTCTTAATATCTTCCTTATCCCTATGTATTTTGCACCTTTTTATAACACTATTTATATTCTTTTTTATTTCAAGTTTATATTTAAAGTGAAATTGTAATATTTTATCTTCATACAAACACTGAACAAATATTGATATAGATATTTATTGACTGCCTGCAACAGGTAGATAAATTAAAATCTAACTTTATTTCATGGTAAAGAAACTGTGGCATGACGTTATAATAATCCACAAATTTTGAATCATTTGGAGCATGAGGTTAATAAATGTATCTTAAGCTACTAACCATCTCGTGGTGTCATCGAAATAAAACATTTGCTGTATGTTTGAAAGAAGTTCAGGCAAATTTTCATTATTTTTTGTCATTTTTTAAAAATATTTTGTCCCCAATTCATGTTTTGAGAATTGTTCACTTATATTTTGTCAAACTAAATTTGTGCACTGATTCAATTTTCATCCCAAATCTTGAATGCATGAACTTACATTGTTTGGTGAATCTAACTTATTTATGTGAATATGTTTTTTTTGTGTTTGCACAAAAGATAGAAATTTGTGACGTATATAACCTATTTCCTTAAACCTGACACTTATAAATAGAGATTTGGGATTGAAATTTGCTTTAAAACTTTTTTATTCAGCCTGAAAAAACCCTTTAAATTAAAGATTAATATTATTGGCAGTTTCTTTTCAAGAGTTTGGAAATATGAAATTGAAATGGTCAAAATTGAAAGAAAAAAGTAAAGAATTATATTTAATGTTAATATTTGAAATGTACATAAAAGAGTGAATTTCTCATTTTTTACATTATTTTTAGTGTCTGACAGTCTTTTTGATTAACTTTAGCTAATATTACAGTTTTTACATTTAATATTCGTCTATTTTGGTGCCTTTTGAAAAATAACACTTGGTTAAGAAATATTGATGTGAATGATTATCTTTATAAGGTAAAAAGTGTGTCTTTATTGAAGCTAATAATTCTTCTTTGTTTTGTGAAGATATCAATATTTGAGGTTCATATAGTATATTGAGGAGAAAATATTAGATTATGTTATGCTTGATAATAACCATTAAAATTTTGTGTCAGTGATATCAAGAAAATTGTAAATAATTGTCATTTTGTGTAATTTAGACACTCTGTCATCATTTATAACTGTATTAGATCAGATCCGGGGACCAAAATCTGTTTATAATCACAAATGGAATACCAGCTGCAAATTAATGATACAAGCTGTTTGAACAAAAAGACTGTCAGAAGACATATAGTATAGCACATGGTTGTTCAAAATTTGTGTACACTGTCAAATTGAAACTTGAAATCAACTCAATTAAAAAATAATGAAATTATAAACAGATAATGTTTTAAAAAGTCAGATGTTCTAAACAAAAACTTTTTGATAAAATATGCCTATTTTGCTGAAAAAAGAATCTTTCAAAATGTATAAATTTGTATTCAAATTCAATAGACAAAAGGAGATTTAATGAAAAGAAACCAAAACAATAATGATGGTATAAAATTTATTTGGCTTATGATATAAAAGAATTTTGAACAGCTGAGTGGATTTGGCTTTTGGATAAGGTTTTCCACATGCATGTGCCTTTTTACTTTTCAGAGGTGGAAGAGGATGGTGAATTAGATACCAAAGGTATATGTATACCACAATGTAAAATGAGGCACCCTTGCCCTGCTCCATACTTCTGTCTGTACTATGTCTTTTACATGTTGTCTTTTCTAAACAAAGCATTTAAAATGTATTTTCTTGACATCAGGTAATTATTAAACCAACTGTGTCTTATTTACAACGAAAAATGTCAAGAGGTATTGAATGTATTTCAAAATGTTTTTACAAGATATTTTAGTTACTGAAAAGCTAAATTGTAAAAGGATGAGAACAGACAATATGTTTCACTGATAAACTCTTTAGCAAGTTAAGGATATATGCTACCTTGATACTTGAGTTATCCCCCTTTACTTCACTCTTTCCTTAGGACATACCTAATTCTTTTGTAAGGGAGAAGAATGCATGTGGAATATAAGGTAGCATATTTCCCTAATGTCCTTTAGATTTTTCTCTAAAAATATGTTCTTTTCTCACACATATTGCACAATTGTGAATTATGATGAATGACCTTCATGGAGATTTTGCTGTTTCATTATCTCATTGAATGAAAATGAAACCTCAAAGCTAGCTGAATCTTTTAAGTAAATATTTAAGGCATTCACATTCATTCTCTTTTGCATGCAATTATGATTATAAACTGTGATCAACCAGAATTACAAAAATCACATCACAAAACTGATTTAGCCTTTCAAAAGGATGTGTTTTTATGTATTGAAAAAAAAAAAACATTTGATAATCTGTTATGGTTGACTACAGTTGTTTTTCAGAGTGTCTTTACTTTTAATTTTCTTACTTGTTTCTCTCTTGAGTTTCCCTTTATAAGTGATATCTGGATTACTTAATCTGATATTTGGTTTGATATATCATGTAAACCATCAATGTAAGCACTTATACTAACATGACTGAGATATTAAATATTGATGTGAAATTTAAATCCACGATTTGAAAATATTTGTTATGAAAGTTTTTGCTGTTCCTTCCAATGTTAACCTGTTTAAATGCAATTCCAAAAAAGCTTTCTTAAATCCAATTTTTGAGCAACAATTTTTTATGAGTTCCTTCAGGATTTTTTGGATTTTAGATGTTTGTGATTAAAATTTAGGACATACCTTTGGCACAAAATGTTTTGAAGAGAAGTTTTGTTTATTTCGAAGATTGTTTATTGGTTCAGTTCTTTCTTTAATTCGAAAGTTTACAGAGAGAGAGAGAGAGAGAGAGAGAGAGAGAGAGAGATTGGAAAGCTCATCTTCAATAAATTCTCTGATTATTTCCATTTCAAATTTGAATATAATAAACTGGGAGGGAAGTGTGAATTAAATATCATGGTCAAATAAAGCTTGAAAAAATTTGATGAAAAAAGGCCCTTGACTGATAACTTTCAAGCTTTGCCAAAGAAATGTTGAAGACACAGATAAAAGGAATATGGATGAAACATACACAATAGGACTTGGGGTATTAGTAAGTCTGATACATAGTTTTAAACAATGATAGAAAAAAAACTGCCTTTAAATACGCTTGATTTTAACATTGTAAAACTATAATGTCACATGGCTTGAAATTTACTATCAACATTTCATTTGCTTCTTTTTTGACCCAAGGGATATAAGATACTATCAGTATCACCTCTCTCCCACACACATCAAAAAGGGAGGTTATCAGGATTGGGGGCTGAAAATTTTGACGTTTTAGGAACAGTTAAAACATTGGAGATATTCATTGAAAGATGCTTATCTTAGATAGGTTTAGATATGTTTAGGCAGAATCTTTCATGCGTTTGCTTAGATCTATTCTTGTGATGGTTTTGTTCCCTGGGGCAGGCGTGAGAACTAAAGCATCAGATTGATCAAGATCTTCAAAGTTTTTGTAATGTTTTTGAGTGAGAAAAGTGTTTTAGATTTTTATATAAAAGTTTTTCTTGAAAAGATGTTTCAGTCTGCTTTTCTTCAATTAGTGTATTTGTGACTCAGGAAAGTTTTTGAAATAGAAATATGTTTAAAGTTTTGACTTTGCATGCTTTCAGTCTGAATTTTCTATGTATAACGCAACTCTTTAATGAGACATTTGATAACACGTGAAATATTCCCTCAGCGATTGAATTATCATTTTCTTATTCCCAAAAATTAATGATTTAAGAAAAAAGAGTAACATGAAAAAATGATTGGTACATAGACTCCTCACAAAAAATGTGTATCTAGTGGTATGGAATAATTGATATATCTAAAAATAGGGAATCTGGTGAATCTTTTGAAATTAAAATGACAATGATTACTAAATATTATCATAGAGCATGGATTTCTAGTTCTGTTTAAATGTGTCTGCTCTATACCTACTCCTAGACATTCTCTTTAGTGAATCTCTCTCCAGCATGATACCTACTGCATAATATTAAAGTTTCTGATACAAAATATTCAATAGAAAAATTCCAAAATATTGAAGTTGTGATCTTTTAACAGTTTATATCAAATGGTCTTTTCTGTAGCTTTGCTACTCTCTGTAATATATTTAGAAATAATTTTGTAATTAATATGGTAACTTCTTAATACGTAGATAACTTTAAAAGTTTAAAATTTAACTTGTGTACTTACAAGGAGAGTAAAAGTTACTTTGAAGGGTATTTTTAAAACTTTAATATTTCAGAATAAGTCTCAGAATATCAGAAATTGTTTCTTTGGGTTCTACTTTTTCTATAAAAATATACAAGTGTTAGGCATTTTTTAAAAGTTATTAAAATGATATTTATGTATATAGATGATGTTTGTGTGCACAAAAATTTCATAATTAATTTTTTTTCTTTAAAATTGGTTTCTTTTCTAACAAAAGGATATGCTAATTATGTTGACAGGTCTATCAGATCTTTCTACTGCCTCACAAACGACCTTGACCCCAGGAATTAAGGAGGGTATCCTCAATATCAAAAAGCAGACAACAGAATTGCGATCTGATTTGCGTAATATTCGGCGTCTCCACCAACTCAATAAAGAATGCATACAGGAGTCGATACAGGAGACTTTACAGAAAATTACAGTAAGAATTGTTCTTTAGATAAAGGAAACTATATACAGAAAATTACAGTAAGAATTGTTCTTTAGATACAGGAGACTATATACAGAAAATTACAGAAAGAAATGTTCTTTAGATACAGGAGACTATATACAGAAAATTACAGTAAGAATTGTTCTTTAGATACAGGAGACTATATACAGAAAATTACAGAAAGAAATGTTCTTTAGATACAGGAGACTATATACAGAAAATTACAGTAAGAATTGTTCTTTAGATACAGGAGACTATATACAGGAAATTACAGAAAGAAATGTTCTTTAGATACAGGAGACTATATACAGAAAATTACAGTAAGAATTGTTCTTTAGATACAGGAGACTATATACAGAAAATTACAGTAAGAATTGTTCTTTAGATACAGGAGACTACATACAGAAAATTACAGTAAGAATTGTTCTTTAGATACAAGAGACTATATACAGAAAATTACAGTAAGAATTGTTCTTTAGATACAGGAGACTATATACAGAAAATTACAGAAAGAATTGTTCTTTAGATACAGGAGACTATATACAGAAAATTACAGTAAGAATTGTTCTTTAGATACAGGAGACTATATACAGAAAATTACAGTAAGAATTGTTCTTTAGATAAAGGAAACTATATACAGAAAAATACAGTAAGAATTGTTCTTTAGATACAGGAGACTATATACAGAAAATTACAGAAAGAAATGTTCTTTAGATACAGGAGACTATATACAGAAAATTACAGTAAGAATTGTTCTTTAGATACAGGAGACTATATACAGAAAATTACAGAAAGAATTGTTCTTTAGATACAGGAGACTATATACAGAAAATTACAGTAAGAATTGTTCTTTAGATAAAGGAAACTATATACAGAAAAATACAGTAAGAATTGTTCTTTAGATACAGGAGACTATATACAGAAAATTACAGAAAGAAATGTTCTTTAGATACAGGAGACTATATACAGAAAATTACAGTAAGAATTGTTATTTAGATACAGGAGACTATATACAGAAAATTACAGAAAGAATTGTTCTTTAGAATAGAATGAATTTGAGTCAATTTTATTAAACTGATCAGTAAAATGACTTAAATTTAATTGGTATAAACAGGCTGTTGTATGTTTTTGTGGTGAAATGTGTAGGAATGATATACTTTTCTATCAGATTGATTATCTTTTTATAAAAAATGTAATAAAATGGTTACAAATATTGATGTTTAGGAAGCCTTGTGTCTATTGATGTATCTACAGAAAGTACTGTCTACTGTACAATATTGATGTTTAGAAAGCCTTGTGTCTATTGATGTATCTACAGAAAGTACTGTCTACTGTACCGGGTACAGAAAACCAGGTACTACGAAAACAACGCAGTGAAACAGACGTCCGTTTGAAATCCTACATCGGAGACAAAGCTATGGCCTTCAGGGAACTTAGGTAAGGAATGTTTCCATTTCGCTGTACATTAAATCTATTCTTCATCATCATAATTAATTTCATAGGAAATGGAATTTGCAAAAAAACATATTTTCAAGTCGATTTAAATTGTCAGTTATCAGATATTAATGTGAACATTGAAAAAAAAGTGAAAATTGGATTATTTGCATATGGACATGTACAAAATTCCTAAAAATAATGTTGCAGTTCAAGGGAGGTAATCTTATTAAGAATCTAAATAAAAAATGTAGTGCCATTTTTCAAACTTCTTGAAAGCATTTCTATAAGCCAGAAGACATTGTCTGTTAGTAAATTTTTATGGACTCTGAGCATTTTAGTGTGGTTTGGGGACATCATCAGACTGTAGCAGAAATGAAAATAGCGGCAAAGAAATTTACTATCTCTACATACTTTTGACTTTCCAGTAATGCTACAGTTAGTTGTTTTCTTTTTGCCTTGCAGTGACCTTGAAGCATGTGTGGAAGAGCTGCGGTTTGATGTTCTGTCACGACACTGTCTCGTCAACATGGCTGATGTAGAGGGTATGGCCCTCCTTCTCAGTCAGGTGGCTCGGTGCCTGGGAGAACTGAAAGGTAATCACTGCTGTCTAAACTGTATTTATAACGTATTAAATCCCAATAAAATATCATCAAATAATCATGTAATGCTTAAAACTGGTTAAAATTGACAAGAGATTTTATCTCATTTGTTCTAAGATAGTTAGCTTTTACCCTTAAAATAATAGCCAATAACCTTATTAATTTATATGCAATGACAGGGTATATTTTTTACAACTGATTGAGATAGAGGAATATGTCTTCAATTTTGAAATCTTATCCAGAAAAAAGCTGGCCTGAAATTTCAAAATTTAGTAAAATAAGGTCCATGTTACTGAAGGGAAATATTGGTGTACGTCGGGAAATATTGGTGTACATCGGGAAATATTGGTGTACGTCGGGAAATATCGGTGTACGTCGGGAAATATTGGTGTACATCGGGAAATATTGGTGTACTTTGGGAAATATTGGTGTACTTTGGGAAATATTGGTGTACATCGGGAAATATTGGTGTACTTTGGGAAATATTGGTGTACATCGGGAAATATTGGTGTACATCGGGAAATATTGGTGTACGTCGGGAAATATCGGTGTACGTCGGGAAATATTGGTGTACATCGGGAAATATTGGTGTACGTCGGGAAATATTGGTGTACTTTGGGAAATATTGGTGTACATCGGGAAATATTGGTGTACGTTGGGAAATATCGGTATACGTCGGGAAATATCGGTGTACGTCGGGAAATATCGGTGTACATAGGGAAATATTGGTGTACATCGGGAAATATTGGTGTACATCGGGAAATATTGGTGTACTTTGGGAAATATTGGTGTACTTTGGGAAATATCAGTGTACATCGGGAAATATTGGTATACTTTGGGAAATATTGATGTACTTTGGGAAATATTGGTGTACTTTGGGAAATATCAGTGTACATCGGGAAATATTGGTATACTTTGGGAAATATTGGTGTACTTTGGGAAATATCAGTGTACATCGGGAAATATTGGTATACTTTGGGAAATATTGATGTACTTTGGGAAATATTGGTGTACTTTGGGAAATATCAGTGTACATCGGGAAATATTGGTATACTTTGGGAAATATTGGTGTACTTTGGGAAATATTGGTGTACTTTGGGAAATATCAGTGTACATCGGGAAATATTGGTATACTTTGGGAAATATTGGTGTACTTTGGGAAATATTGGTGTACTTTGGGAAATATCAGTGTACATTTGGAAATATTGGTATACTTTGGGAAATATTGATGTACTTTGGGAAATATTGGTGTACTTTGGGAAATATCAGTGTACATCGGGAAATATTGGTATACTTTGGGAAATATTGGTGTACTTTGGGAAATATTGGTGTACATCTGGAAATATTGGTGTACTTTGGGAAATATTGGTATACTTTGGGAAAACAATTTAAAATCAGATTCTGATACAGGAGGTTTAAAATAATATTAGTTTTACTTATTTTTTTCTCTCAAAGATTGATCAACTTTAATGTTACAGGACTTTTCCCATCCCTACAAGAGGAGGTGAAGCATGTTCTGGCTGGTGAAATGGAGGTCGTGGTTAAGGAGGAAAAGTTGGTCTCATTATTGTTGTTTTGAATACGTTATATCATAATTATATAAAGATATCAGGTTAAATTGATATGTAAACTTTGTAGAACTGTCTTGTTTTGTTGTTACTGTTGAAGTTAGGATTTTCAGTTGACTTAAGCATTATGGGATGAATGAATTTTTTTCCACAGATTCCTCAAAGACGAGCCAGAAAGTTTGGAAGAGGGTTTAAAACGCTGCAAGAAGCTGACAAATACTCTGTTTAACTTTAAAAGGTATTGTGATAATTTAGACCAGGTTTACATTTATAACAATTTTGTCCAGGTTTGATATTATGCTCCTGTGGACTGGTGTTGTATGATAAAGAGAAGCCCATGGTAAAGTGAAGCCACTTTATATTTTATTTTCAATTGCTGTTTCTACACTAAATATTCTATCATTTTATTTAACTATGTTCCTCCATATATAATAAAACAAACAAACAAAAATAACGAGGGTGCATGGGGCAGTTCATTTACCATTTCCTTACTAATTGATTCTTTTTCACCAATTTGTTTTCTAATCACCCTGATTCAATCATACTTGACCATAATTTTTCATGTTTACATACATTCACACCTGTCAATTTGCTGCATGGTTTCATTTAAGGATTGGTACAGGTATCAATTATGTATTGTCAAGTGCCTCTCTCATTGTCATACTTAGACATAACAACTTTGTGATCATATATACAGAGTGTGATTTTGTCATCATTCAGACTGGATATGATTTTGTCATCATTCAGACTATTGGCTCTATTGATAGTGACTCAGTTGACTCTGTTGATAGTGACTCAGTTGACTCTGTTGATAGTGGCTCTGTTGGCTCTATTGATAGTGGATCTGTTGATAGGGGCTCTGTTGGCTGTTTTTAGTAGCTGTGTTGATAAGGGCTCTGTTGGCTGTTTTTAGTAGCTGTGTTGATAGGGGCTCTGTTGCCTCTGTTGATAATGGCTCTGTTGACTGTGTTGATAGTGGCTCTGTTGACTGTTGATAGTGGCTCTGTTGGCTGTGTTGATAGTGGCTCTGTTGGCTGTTTATTGTGGCTCTGTTGGATCTATTGATAGTGGATCTGTTGACTGTTGATTGTGGCTCTGTTAATAGTGGCTCTGTTGACTCTGTTGATATTGACTCTGTTGATAGTTGGCTCTGTTGACTGTTGATAGTGGCTCCATTGGCTCACTTGATAAAAACTCTATTTCGTCTGTTGATAGTGGCTCTGTTGGCTCTATTGATAGTGGCTCTGTTGGCTCTGTTGATAGTGATTCTGTTGACTTGACAGTTGCTCTGTTGGCTGTGTTGATAGTGTCTGTTGACTCCATTGATAGTGGCTCTGTTGGCTGTGTTGATAGTGGCTCTGTTGACTGTTGATAATGCCTCTATTGATAGTGGCTCTGTTGACTCTATTGATAGTGCCTCTGTTGATAGTGGCTCTGTTGGCTCTGTTGATAGTGGCTCTGTTGATTGTTGGTAGCTCTGTCGACTCTCTTGATAGTGGCTCTGTTGGCTCTGTTGATAGTTGCTCTGCTGATAGTGGCTCTGTTGACTGTTGATAGTGTCTCTGTTGGATCTGTTGATAGTGGCTCTGATGACTGTTGATAGTGCCTCTGTTGGATCTGTTGATAGTGGCTCTGTTGATAGTGCCTCTGTTGGATCTGTTGAGAGTGGCTCTGTTGACTGTTGATAGTGGCTCTGTTGACTGTTGATAATGCCTCTGTTGATAGTGGCTCTGTTGACTCTATTGATAGTGCCTCTGTTGATATTGGCTCTGTTGATAGTGGCTCTGTTGGATGTGTTGATGGTGGCCCTGTTGACTCTGTTGATAGTGGCTCCATTGGATCTGTTGATAGTGGCTCTGTTGACTCTGTTGATAGTGGCTCTGTTGGATCTGTTGATAGTGGCTCTGTTGATTGTGGCTCTGTTGACTGTTGATAGTGGCTCTGTTGACTCCGTTGATAGTGTCTCTGTTGACTCTGTTGATAGTGTCTCTGTTAGCTCTGTTAATAGTGTCTCTGTTGGCTCTGTTAATAGTGTCTCTGTTGGCTCCGTTAATAGTGTCTCTGTCTAATATGAATTTCTTTCTTGCCAGTTTTCAACCAACTTTTGATTTAATTAGACAATATCATCAAACCTTTCACATTTGATAGGTTGGCATCTGTTCAGGAACATCGTCCCCACCAGAAGACAGGAAAAATGTTAGGAGGCAAGGTACCCACAGACGGTGACCGTAAGCATCTACTGGAGAACATTGCAGCCATGGTCCCAGATCACTGTGCTCGTGTACAGAAACTTGAGGTAGGCAGAGCCATATTGTCATTATCACTGTATATCACTCAAACCACTGTTTTTCAAATAAAGAATATTTCCCTAATATAATTGTAATGATATTTATTAGGAGTTTCACCCATGGTTGCCATGATAACCACTTTAAATTGCATTAGGTAGGGAAAATTGAATATTGAATGAATGTAGTGATATTTTGAGTATTTCTTTTTACCAAAGTATAGATTGCATTCTTGGAGAAATTGTCATATAAAATGAGAATATATAGGCATTATACCTTTAGAAGAAATTGAATTCTCAATGATTGATAGAATTTAAGTTGTGATGATAGATGTTACAAGGGATCATGTTGATATTAATCATTTATACCTCATTTTTCACCTCATTATACACCCTGCAACAATGTAAGAAGAGGGATACAGGATTCAGGCTGTCTCTCTGCCCATCCATGCGTCTCTTGCCCTGTCTGTCTGTAGACATATCTTGTCCACTCAACCCCTTCTAAACTAGTGAATTGATTTTGCTAAAACTGGACCATATGTAGCCCTGTCTGTCTGTAGACATATCTTGTCCACTCAACCCCTTCTAAACTAGTGAATTGATTTTGCTAAAACTGGACCATATGTAGCCCTGTCTGTCTGTAGACATATCTTGTCCACTCAACCCCTTCTAAACTAGTGAATTGATTTTGCTAAAACTGGACCATATGTAGATGTGCATTCAATTTGTTCCCTCGTTTTTGTTTTTTTCTTACAAATCCTGGTTTCTGTGTTAACCTATCTCTAAAACAGGTTGACCATACATTAGAGCATGTGGGGGTATTTTAGTTAGTCTGTTCTGATTTTTTCTAAAGTAATATCTAAAATCTTTTAATACTTCACAACATCAGTCAATTACAATAAATGAAAATTTGAAATTTTTGTTTTAATTTTTCAGGAAGCAGATGCATCCCGCGAGAGGAAAAAGAAGATTGTGGTAAAGCAAGAAGCTTTGAAATTTGGTCGATCACTTGAAATGGCCACACGTGGCTTAAAACCAGCCTCCTCCAAGGAGCAGTTGGAGAAAGGTGCAGAGGTACTTGTAACAGAATCACAGCCTACAGGGTCAAAGGTCAAGGGGTCACCAAGCCTTGTGCATAAACCTACCTCAAGTGCAACGGATGCAACTAGTAAATCGTCTTCTCTTCCACCAAGTGGTTCTACAGATAAAGTTTGCACTAAGGGAGACAAAGATCAACAAAGTGACCGGTCAAAGAGTGAACCTCGACCATTTTTAATGGAGAAAAGTCGTTCTTTGGACAACCAATTAGATTCAAGAGACCTTGCAGTGTCAGATCTGTCAGTGAAGAGGAAGCCAGCAGTCGTTGTTAGTGCAGAACTACCAGCTGCAAGTAAGTGTTTACCTGTTGAAGTCCCTAAAAATCAAGTCAATGGTGACAGAGTAGCTGCTGGCAAACCGCAGTCAAACAGTAGTAAAGGTGGTAGTTCAAAACGATCCAAAAGTGTTGATAGTGGCGCTCTTGAGGATAAAGATGTGAAAAGGAACGCGGAAATTTTACGAATTCAGAAAAATGCTGCACGTGCAAATTTCTTTAGTTCAATTACAACACCTCCGACCTCCCCAGAAGAGGAGAAAAGGCCAGTGTCTTCTCCCAGTGGGGCTAAATCTATGGACTACACAGTTCGAATTTCTCCTGTCAAGGTCACTGTGTCTGGAGAAACTAAGTACACAGTTAGTCCTTCAAACACTCAACGACAAACAGCCTCTGGGAAACCTACATTCTTGCCAGTTTCCTCAAAAAAGGAGAAATCCAGTGAGAATAAAAGTGCCACACCCTCTCCAACCACCCCTAGTTATATAATAACACCAGGTGGTTCTCGTGTTAGTAGCATTCCAAAGATTTCGCCTCATAAAACTTCATCTGGTGCTTCTCTGCAAAATCGTGATATAAGTGAACCAAAGATATCATCATCACAATCATCTAAGGAATCTGGATCAGTCTCTGCAAATGGGTCTTCAGATGCAAAATCAAATGGTAGAGCTTCTGACAAGAAAGGAAGTTCAGATAGTAGTGCGGAGGGGCGACAAAGAAGAGCGCCCCCTCCACCTCCTCCTAGAAAAAGCAGCAGTCGGCCAAGTTCTTCCATAAACACTTCAGGGCCAGTGTCTCCAGTTCATACCGAGGCTGACCCTCAAGACTCCAGTGTGATAACAGGCCATCGTATGGGGCCTGCCCTCAATGTGGGTACTCTTACTTCCACACCTAAAGCAGGAATCACCCACAAGCCCACTACCAAGTTCGAGAAAGATTTAGCTGGTGGTAAAAGTGTAAGTAGTTTAAGTAACGGTGACAAAAGGAGATCAGACACACAGTCAGTGAAATCAGACAAATCCCAAACTCCTTTGGTAAAATCAGAGAAAGGTTCTCCAGTTGCGGCATTGAAATTTGATGATGCCTCTGAACAAAGTGAAACAGCATCAGGAATGACACGTGAGGAACGCGAGGGAAGCAGTGAAAGCACAACTAGTTCAAGTTCACTAGACTCGCAGCAGGGCACTGTTGTACTACGGTGTGCTGCAAAAACAAGCCGGAAACCAAAACCTCCACCCCCTGCTAGGCGATCTAGTCTGCCTCTTGGCAACAATCCACCTGTAGAAAAAACACACAGTAGTGGAAAGTCAAAGGTCAATGGGAGAAGGGAGAGTGAGGGCGACATTGGATGATGTGTCTGGACGTGCTGTAAATGACAAGTTTTTTTTCATTCTCATTCTAACCAGAATTGATATGTGTTATGAGATTGCAGTCCTATGTTTTGTATCATGCTGACACACTGCCGTGTTTGAAAACATTGTTTCATGCGTTATTTGAGAAGTACAGAATAAATTACAATGAATTTTATGTGATTTTACTTACACTGCCATGTAGGTGCCTCGTGGCTAATATAAGTCTCTACCTACTTACAGGTAGAATAAAACAAAGGCTGTTTCCTGTTTCTCAGTTAGATAATTGTTTCAGATGTATAATATTGTTTATAAACCTTTCACTGCTACATGCATCTACAATCCTAAATGATTCAACTGTTAATTTTCTTTTGTTTATAATTTGAAACTTTCATGTATAATGCATTTACTTTTATATATTGAAGAAAATTGAATAAGGGACATCACTTTAACATATAATTGGAAGTAGCATACTATAGTTAGTTTTAAAACATTTTGCATTTTCATATGTTTTTATAATTACTAGATACATATGTTCATCTTTGTGCTCTAAATTTTCTTTCATAAAGATTTTTTTGTGATAATAACATTTTTTTTCAATGAAGGGGGAGATTGATAAATTGAAAAATATTGTGCATGATCATATTTTTTCCCATAAATATTGATTTTGTTGTAATGCAATATTTGTTAATTGCCATCATGTATGAAATTGAGAAATCCCTCTTAAAGCCTCTGTGGCAAAGTTTGGTAGTTTATTCATACCATTTAAGATTGAGTTGAAAATTTTTTTATTGAAGCATTGGATTTGGATGACCTGTCACAAATTCTGCAAAAGTGTCATTCCATTTTTCATGTTCATCAATGATTATCTCCCTTACATGTGTTTTCTAGGTTACAAAGATATGATGAAATTAAGAAATTGCCATGCCATTCTACATCCTTTCAACTAAAGATTTCAATTCATTAAGATTTTCATGATGAATTTTACTTTACTTTCATTGTAATTTTTAAGATCTCAGAATATTATTTTTGTTATGTATGAGTTTTTCATAGTGCTGTAGACATGCAGTGATGTAATGAAAACGTTTAGAATGTTTTTGTGAATAGATTGAAAGTTCATTAATGCATAAATGCAAGTTAATCAATCATTTCTAAAATAAGTCTCATCCATATAAAGGGATTTTTTCCCAGCATATCTCTGCTGAGTTTTGTAAAAACACATTTGAAAGGAATTCTTAACAAGGCTTAAATGAGCCTTTACATACAAAAATTATTTATTTTGGATTTGACCTTTATCTTAGAAATAGCTCTAGTGGTTTGATTTTCATGTGCTTGCTAAGTTGTGTAATTGAATTATCTATTGTGTAAGGGAAAGTATTTCATAACAAGACTTATATCAGGAAGTTCTGTACACAAAGTGCTTACCAGTATTCACCTTTGCTTTTACTCTAGACGGTGGTGTTCATACCGAGGTTAGCTGAGGGAAATATTATAGCTACATGTACATTAAACCAGTTCATGAAAGGTTATGTGTCACATATATTCAACATTAAGACCATGCCTGGTTAAAAATCCACTCTGAACTTGTGCTGTAGAAATTACTGACATCATTGACTTTGAATAAGCAGTCATCATACTTCCTTACTAATTGAGTCCTATTTTTGGTCTTCTGGGCTTATTACAAAATCTCCCTGACTAATTGAGTTTGATGTTTGGTCTTCTAGGTTTATTATAAAATCTACTTGACTAATTCAGTCACAGGTTTGACACTGTGGGCTTATTACAAAATCTACCTGACTTATTGAATCAAAGCTTTGGTGCTCTAGGCTTATTTAAAATTCTCCCTGACTAATGGAGTCAGAGATTTGGTACTCTGGGCTTGTTACAAAATTCTCCCTGACTAATGGAGTCAGAGATTTGGTACTCTGGGCTTGTTACAAAATTCTCCCTGACTAATGGAGTCAGAGATTTGGTACTGTGGGCTTGTTACAAAATTGCCCCTGACTAATGGAGTCAGAGATTTGGTACTGTGGGCTTGTTACAAAATTCCCCCTGACTAATGGAGTCAGAGATTTGGTACTCTTGGCTTGTTACAAAATTTCTCTAATTTTGTCAGAGGTTTGGCTATTGGAGCTTATTACATAAGGACACTTATTGCATGGTACAAGAACATATGAAATGACCATCTCTTTTGCGAAGACTTCCAAAAACAAAAATAGTAACATTATTTTTAAAATTTCTGACATGCATGCTTTATTCTGTACATGACTGACCCCTATAAGATATGGTACCCAGTATCTTTGTAATCTAATTTGCATAAGATAACCTGTAGATATAATTACCCAGTATTAGGTATTTAGAGATACAAATATAGCAATGATACCCAAGGTTGTGAATTATTCATACAAGCCTTCATTATGGAGGCAGAAAGTGCAATATAATGACTTTGTATATATCAAGATCTAATAGTGTGTGACCTCATTAGAACAAAACTACGGCAATCCAGAAATGTTTGGAAATCAGTCAATATTTATATCATAATGTGAAGATATTGAAATTTTCACAATCAAATTTTAGAGCAATATTCTTTAGCAAATTATCACATTGATGAATCGGTGCATTCACAATTTTTGCTTTGTAAACAAAATAAAGAAACTCTTTAGCACAATGTTTTCAGTGAAAAAGAGCTGAAATATGTATGGTTACTGTGACATATTTTAGCTCCTACTTGACATATGACACAGAATTTCATTTGATCAATACCTACAGGTCACACAAATTAGTTTATCTAAAAACTTGGTAGTTATTGGATGTTTTCTTTGGAGAGTGGATGTTCTGTTTATGATGAGGTTTCTTATGAATTGATATGTACATAGATAATGATAGATGGCGTTAAAATTTAGTATAAGTCATTGAAAATTTCAGTAAATTATTAAGAAGATGTTATGTTTGGCGTCTTTCTGTATTTAGTATGTTTGTGTTAGTGTGATATTGTGTGTGCTGGCTGTTTCACTGTGAAGGAGAAATTCTGTTCTTAACCTAATAAATGCACCTATTTTTAATTGCATAAATCGTTATGAACCCTTTATTGACTACAGGAGGCTTTGGAGCATGGGCATATACTAGGTAGTGTTACACCCAACTGTTTAACCTCATAGTACCTTAATATCAAGTTATACCTTTTCATATTAAGGTGGTCATCTAGCTGTCAAAGTTAAAGGGTCAAAGGTCACATTATGTAAAATGATGATAGTTATTACACCATGCCTGTCTATTGATTTTCAGTCAGCCAATTATTGAGCTGTCTTAGTTGCGAGATAAATACAATTACATATTAAATGTTTGTTTGTAAATTGAAGTGTGTTTATTAGGTTAATTACAGTTAATATATCAATGTATATAGTAAAGATATACTGGATGTTTTACAATGTATAGCAGTACATAGTTATCTGTTGTAGCCAGATATATACACTGGTTAATGGAGTATGATTTTGCAACAGTACATTTCACAAGCAAATTTGTTCAAACATGTTATAGAACATTTGTTAAAAGTAAGTTTATCAAACATGATTGAAAGAAATATGAGGTCCATTAGCATTTGTATTGCCTGAAAATGTTGATGTAAGGTACTTAATAAAACTCCATCTTATATCCTTAGAGACCAAAATCTTATTTCCTTAGAGACCAAAATCCTTTAAAATACTGTGTACCAGAATACATGAATTCACTCAGGGATATTTTTCACCCTCCCAGAAAAGTGTTGCTTTTTTGCCCAGTGTTATATTCATTGTAAATTAATGAAATAGAGATTTATTTCAGTTATAACTTCAAACTTAAACCCATTTATTTCTCTTTATTCTGTTTTCAAAAGGACAAAACGATTGATACTTAAACTGGGATGTATTGATCTCTGTAAGGTATAGTAATACTATATGATGTCATCCTTTATAAATGTCTTACAAAACCAACAGGCAAAGGGAAGGCTTCTATTAGTGGTCAATTTGCTTGTGAAATAGAACTGACTGCAGATCTACAACAATCACAGTATTCATTGATCAACGATGAACAGGATAGTACGGGTATACCTACAGAAGCAAGCAGATGACACATTATTCAGAGTAATTCTGAATCAGTTGGAATTTCTAGTGTTGATTATTTTAAGAGACTAGATGTGCTAACTTAAGATATGATTTACAGGAAGAATATCTTGCTTTTTTGCTTTTATGCGGGTGTACGAAAATCAAAAAGTAGTGCACAGATTTTCTTTTCTTTTCTGACAGAAAAGTTTTCTTGAAACATCGGTAATCAGTAAAAGTATCAGTAAATAGCAATGTTTCGTGAGTGTCAATATTAAAAAAATGAGTTCAATATACAACATCTCAATAAGTTGTCATATTATTTGTGCGATCAAACCATACAGCTGAAAAGGGCGAATTCTTTTCTTATTAATAAGCTTTTTCAGTTTGGTTTACAAATATACTCATTCAGATACAATAGTTGACAAGGGAAAAAGCCATTGCATTAGATATTACCTATTCATTGAAAATTAACTATAGTACTTAAAACTGAAATATTCATGATTTCATAAACATTACCGATTATTAACATTTTTGTGTACATTGCTTTCATATATACGCATTTAACCCTTTTACCCCTTATGATTAAAAATGGACTTATCCTATCAACATCAAAGGAATCTACAAAAATTACATTGGGGTTGAAGATGAAATGAAAATAGAAAATCAATCCACAATCACTTGGTGTGTATGTTACAGAAAAGTAGCTTTCTCATTTTTAAGTTTTTTTCTTGTCCCAGTTTGCAGATGTAATTGTTACTAGTGTAAGTGATTTCTGTAAGTGAAGATTATTAGGACTAAAGCTGCCTATATGTATTATATTGTCTCATCTACAGAATAAATGCATGTTTACAAAGAGATTTTGGAATGACTTCTGTTTTGTCTTGTATGTGTATTTTATATATTGGTCATGTGAGACAAGGTCACCAGAGATGAGGTTACAAGAGACAAGGTCACCTGAAATGGGATTACCTGGGACAAGGTCACCGGAAATGAGATTGCCTGGGAAAAAGTCACCTGAAATGGGATTATCTTGGACAAGGTCACCTGAAATGGGATTACCTGGCACAAGGTCACCTGAAATGGGATTACCTTGGACAAGGTCACTTGAAATGAGATTACCTGGGACAAGGTCACCTGAAATGAGATTACCTGAGACAAGGTCACTGAGATGATTCACCAGAGAGAGTCATGTTAGATATGATTTCCCAAGAGGTCACCAGAGATGAGGTCTTAGGCAAACAATTGCAACTTATATTTGTCCATTGTTGTGTGCCGTTTTTCTGAGAACATTCTAAATTTCATTCAAAAACAATTCTGGACCAATCTTAATGAAGTATTGTTGAAACCTTCCGGGGTCAAAGGTGAACCATAATTGTTCTGCTTTCA